TGTCCCGTGCCTAGAAAGCAGAGGTCCAAGAGATTTTCCACAGTCCTGTGCTTTTTAAGCACGACTCCAAGTGCTTTTCCATTTGCCCCACTGCTTTACCTGGAAACATTATGAAAAATTATGGCTGAATTGGAGCAAACATCAATCCACAGAAAACCTGATTTACATTTGTTCTGATTAAGCGGTAAAGAGTGGATTTCTCCAGCGAAACTTGCAGGCCAAGCAGAAGTTTGGATGAGCCCTAAGTCAGGAAAATATTGCTATGCAAATTTAGTTCACTGTACATTTAATGCTAGAGAGTGGAGGAATGCAGCTATCTTGTTACTAAAATTAATGTACAGTGGTACCTCAGGTTACATACGCTTCAGGTTACAGACTCCGCTAACCCAGAAATAGTGCTTCAGGTTAAGAACTTTGCTTCAGGATGAGAACAGAAATCGGGCTCCGGAGGCGTGGCAGCAGCGGGAGGCCCCATTAGCTAAAGTGGTGCTTCAGGTTAAGAATAGTTTCAGGTTAAGAACGGACCTCCGGAACGAATTAAGTACTTAACCTGAGGTACCACTGTAAATAATTGAAACATACAGGAAATAATTTCATCAGAGGAACTGAGGTGAAATGTTTTCCCTGAAATGTTGTCTTACTGAGTGGATTTGTATTTAAAATAAAATAAATAAATAAATGAAGAAACTTATTTCTTTTTATGGGTCATAGTTAATATTCACCTCCTTGAAAAACAGCATGCAACTGAGTCAGTCTTACAATACTGGAATTAACAAGCTATCTGATACTGTTCTTTATATATTGGTTGACCTGGGAATTTTTATAAACCAAAGAGCACTGTGATTTTTAAATTGATAGTTTAATTTGTGAGTTTAATTTTTTGAGTTTGGACCCATCACACCAACAATTGGGTGAAGCCATGTTTCACTCTTCCATCTTCATTCAAAGTGACAGCCAGCACCTGAATGTCAACAAAAACGTCTGCCTCCACCTTGGAAATCCTCGTGCAAAGTCAGGTAATGATATCTCAAGAGGATTCTGAACTTAAGAGAGAACAAACAGACAACCCAGTTTCAAAAATATATAGTAGATTAGGTGTGGCAACTCTGTGGCCCTCCATATGTTATTGGATATCTTTCAGCCTCAGTTAATATGGGACACAGGTGGCTTTGTGGTCAATACCACTAAGCCTCTTGGGCTTGACAATTGGAAGGTCGGCAGTTCAAATCCCCATGGCAAAGTGAGCTCCCGTTGTTCTGTTCCAGCTCCTGCCAACCTAGCAGTTCGAAAGCACGCCAGTGCATGTAGATAAATAGGTAACGCTGTGGCAGGAAGGTAAACAGTGTTTCTGTGCACTCTGGTTTCCAGCACGGTGTTCTCTTGTGCCAAAAGCGGTTTAGACATGCTGGCCACATGACCCTGATAGCTGTCTGTGGACAAATGCCGGCTCCCTTGGCCTGAAGTGAGATGAGCGCCGCATCCCATAGTCGCCTTTGACTGGACTTAACCATCCAGGGGTCCTTTAACTTTTTTACCTTTTAATATGGCCAGTGGTCAGGGTAATGAGTTAGTCAAACAACATATTGTGACCCACAGGTTTCCCATTCCTCATTCCTGATATGGATGATAAAGAAAAGCACTGAGGATGTGAAAAGTGCCTTTGCTTTTGATCCATAGGGATACCGCAAAAGAGGGTTAATAGTGAGCTATTTGGGGATGCACTCTCAACCTCCTTGGAGCTAGCCCTATCTGTTATGCCAAATTTCTGAATATGGTTGCTTTTTTTTGTTTTTTGCAAAATCATCTTGAATACCTCTGAATTAAGTGAAGCTTTGCAAGAGTTTGTTCTTTATTTATATAAAGCAAGCCACTGAACTGGTGTTAGTCACATTGCAAGCGTTGCTATTTTTCACTCTGTCATAGCAAGTGTCAGGAGCAAGAACGCGTTGATGTGTTTGTTACTTAGAAAAGCTATGGTGTGAACTAAGTAATTAAATAGAGGCAAATGTGTTAAATTAAAATAGAACTACTTCAGAAAGTTTATCATAAGTCATTATCAGGTAGTAGCTATTTCTGAAAAGTGGCTGCAATACTTTACTTGTTTTTCCAGGGGCAATTTTCACTATATCAGTACAGGAATTGTACAAAAAAGATGTTTGTAACATTTACTGCTGCTGATCCTTGGCATCATGGCGCAGGAAATTAAGTGCTGTATTACCGTTCAGATTGTCAGAATATTAGGATTTGGTCACAAAATCAGGATAACAAAGATAATCAGAGTTTATTCACACCATCTTCTTTCGCTCCAAACACCATACTCTTATCTGGTAATAGGTTCTTGTGTTGATGATAGAAATAATGAGGAAATTAGAAAACATGGGCAGAGTTCCCACATATACACACATACACACCAGTCTGGATTCAACTGCATCAGTTGAAATTTAGCTGGAGAAAAATTTGCATAGAGGAATCTTCTGCCTCCTTCCCTCTCCTCACCAAACACAGCTTGCAGTGTACTGGTTGCTTAGAATGGCAGGCCAGATTGCATGTTTAGAAAGAAAGCAGTGTAGGTAGATAAGATCCAGACCCATAAGTTGCTTGCTTATACCTGGGTGGGAAGTGGGGGCAGTAGAAAATTCCAGTGAACTCCATGGTGATTCTCAGTAGCTAGTAACTCTGGCATATAGATTAGCCCTATTTTAGGCTGTATTAAGAGGCACATTGTATAAACACCACTCAGTTCTGCACTGGTCATTTCTGGGTATTATATTTTAAGAAGGGAATTGACCTGCTGGAATGTGTGCAGAAGAGTGGAACCAGATAGTGAGGAGCCTGGAAACAAAGTCCTATGGGGAATGTTGAATGAGTTTGGTATGTTTAGCATGGAGAAGAGAAGATTAAGGGGGAGACATGGTAGCAGCTTTTAAAATATCGGATAGGTTGTCACATAGGAGAGGAACCAGTTTTGTTCTTCATTGCTCCAGAGTAGAACCAGTTGGTGGAAATTTCCGGGAAGCAGATTTCAGCTAAGAATTGGGAAAAGACATCTTAAGAGTAAGAGCTGTTCAGAAATGGAGAAAACTGCCTCAGGATGTGGCAGGCTCTCCTCCAATGGAGGTATTTGAGCAGAGGTTAGAAGGCCATCTGTCCAGGATGCTGCAGTTGTATCCTGCATTGCAGATTTTGCCCTGAGGATGGACTAGACAACTGCCGAGATTATTTCCATTTCTATTATTCTAACAATTGCCTAATTAAGTATGCCAGTGCTTTCTTTTTTCCTCTCAAGACTAGAAAATTCTATAGACAAAGAAGCTATGCTAGATATCATGACCAACCTCGTGTTGTTCCCCCCCCCATCCTTTATTTGGACACCCTGATCTTAAGGAAGAGTTCTGTATAACTTGAGGCTGTAATTTTAATACAAGTTGCTCCTAATTTGACTTGCTCTGTGATTTTAACAACGAAGTAGGTTAAGCATTCTTCCATCTTTCAGAAAAGAGACCCAGTTTAAGATTATCAATAAAAATAATATGCATTTTCCTTGCAAATACAGGATATTGTGCTGGGGGGGGGTGGTTAAAATTAGTGGGGAAATAAAATTGCAAGGTTTTCTATGCCCATATTTTTTTTAAAGTGAAAGTAAATTTATTCCTTAATACTTACATCTATGAGGCCATTAAGAAAGTAGATGGAAAATTATATCCAAAAGAAAATGAACTGCAAGATTGCCTCCTCTTGGGGCAAATCAGTTTTAATCTTCCAAAGCTATAGTACTTTGGCTAACTGCCATATTGACTGCTTTTTTGCTGATCACGAGGAGTGAAAATGACTGGGAAATATCAGAGGCAAAGGTGCTAGTATTTCACATTTGTATGCACCAAGAATATTACTAGAGAACATAAGGAAATGAGTTTTCTGATGATGGTGCTAAAGGAAAAAGGCTTTAAACCTGCTCTATGTCTTAAGCATTTTGAACAACAACAAAAAAAGAACTTGCAGAACTGTCACAGACTATCCTTTTTTTCTACTAAACTAGACAAATTCTATGTTGCAAGAGCATCAAGGTGAGTAGATGTAGGCCCAAATTTCCAAAATGTGAAGCATTTTTAAGCAAAGGGACTTGAGTGGAAACTGAAATGCTTAAACCTTACCAGGACTGAAAGTTCTTGATGTGTGTTTTTTTTAAAAACCATGACACAAAAGGCTCACAAGCCTTCTCTTGCTTATGATGGGGTCGTGCTTCTTTTCTCCAGACTCTTATTGGTGTTTGAAACTGCTTGGGCACAGGTTCTTTCCTTGGGCATTCTGTAGTACGTTGCAGACAAGCAATTTCTCTTTCTGTACAGAATGAAGCAGCAGTGAGTGACAATTTATCTTTTGGAGCATTTGAGACTTGATCATCTAGAATAGGGGTAGCTAAAACAGTGCTGCCTGTTATTCCCCAGCCAGAATGGCCAGTTCTCGGGGGAGATGGAGTTTGTAGTCTAGCAACATCTGCAGGACCACAGGTTAGCTACCCTGAATGCTAGAGCCAAAGATGCTTGGAGACATCTCAAGTTTCCACATGTTGCATCAATTCTAGTATTGATAGTTGCATTCGGGTATTGTTCTCGTCACAGGATACTAATACACACTTTATATTAAGAAACTGTTTCATAGCGTTTGGCATGTTTACACAACAGCCTTCAGTTTTAACTACTAATTCCTGAATAATATCCAGCTTGCTCCACGTGATTCAAGTTCATATCCATTCCCAAGCAATCCTTATGTTTTTTCCATCACCAGATGAATACTTTTTTTTTCCATTTGAGGCCTATTAAACAAGTTTTTTTTTTAAAAAAAATAATCTGGACGTCTCAGTTTTATGATTCGTCTTCATTCAATCAAATTTTATGCTGTTTTTATTGCTTTATATTGTATGTTAAATATTTTATTTTAGCCATTTAATTTTTGTAAGCCACCCAGAGAACATTTCCTTATGGGTGGTTATGCAAAATTAGTGTTTGTGTGGTGTGTGTGTGTGTGTGTGTGTACACATGACACACACACACATATATACACATACAATAAAATGAAGCTCAGTTGGTGGTTTTGGAAAAGTATTTTTTAAGCTGCATCAGTGAAGTTTTGTGAGGATAAATGAGATGTTAGCAAAATACTTGCTACCCTGGAAAGTAGCATTCAGAAAACATAACTATAACAATTATATTACCAATGGAGTACAGTGTTTTGAGATACTGTTTGTCCATACCAATGGAATCAGTCAAAGTATGTAGGATCTTAGACAACCAATCTTCAATTTTTCCAAATACTGCTGCTACTGCAATAGTTGTAATAATCATATTAATAGTTGTTGTTCTTAGAATTATTCAGTTACCTTAATGAAACTGTGATAAAGCTACATATAGTCCTCTGAATCATTGCTTTAAAAGTAGGCTTTTAGCTTTCTCATCCTGTTGGAACAATGATATTTCTGGATTAATAGCTTTTCCTTCTCTAGTAGTTTCACTGGATAGTTGTTTTGAAAATGGAACTCTTTCATTCTCTTGAAGAGTAGATAGGACTCTGGGTCATGTAGGCCAGGCTTCCTCAACCTCGGGCCTCCAGATGTTTTGAGACTACAATTCCCATCATCCCTGACCACTGGTCCTACTAGCTAGGGATCATGGGAGTTGTAGGCCAAAAACATGTGGAGGGCCGAGGTTGAGGAAGCCTGATGTAGGCACTGTGGGAAGGCAACATTGCACAGCCTGCTAAAGCAATGTGATGTGTCTGTTAATACCAGATTCCTTCTTGATAGCTTGTTTCTTAATTGCCTCCTTTATTTATTCAGTTTATGTTGCAATTCAATCTGAGAGACAGGTAATCATTATAAGAAGGATCAACAAAGATTATAGGACCCATCTGATTCAAAAGACAGCCTGGAAATCTCTAAACAAGCATTCTCATTCTCTTGAGTAATGAGTTTTCTGTATCGTTTGTTGCTTAATAGATCAGAAATAGAGAAGGGTTAGTTTTTCCCACCCCATGATGGGTTTTTTGTTTTTGTTTTTGTTTTTGTTTTGTTTTTTAAAAAAGCTTCAGCTATGCTTCTTCGGCCAACAGAGAAGACTTTCAAGCCAAGCAGCAATTGGAACAAGGAGTTCGCACTGTTTCTCTAGAAGTATTGACTATATATTGGTGCTTACACCATTTGAACTGGCCAGCTCATTACAAATCTCTCTCCATTTCAGCTAAAGTGATTTTGCTGTCAAAAACAGTGAAGTGTGTGATTATTGAGTGAATCTGGCAGAGAAATTGGCTGATTAAGTAGTACGTGGGAAAGGCTGCTAAGAGTTGGTGTTTTGGGTGCCATTAGTAGAAGGAGTTGGATTTCCTTTTTGGTTTTTAATGTTTGAAGTATTTTTGTCTGATATGCTAAATGTTCTGCTCAATATGTCAGTGTTGCATGTAGAAGCAGTGTGTGTGTGTTAATCTATTTTCTTGAAGTTCCTCCCTTGCGCCTTTTCCCTTCTATTGTCAACAGTCCAGTGTATCAGATGACTATGGGCAGCATCCTGAGATGACAGATTAAACCATTGGTACTATAAAATCAATACATGATATGGCTTGAGTTTAACAACTCACTGCACACAGCATGCTTGTGTTGCGCAGTGGGAATTTATGCTGGTCAGGTTCACAAGATATTCTAAGCTTGGGCGCTTGGGAAGTGATCTGTGCAGTGCTTCCCAAATGACCAACAGCTAGCTTAGTTGTTGGGCATTTGGGAAGTGCTGCACACCAGGCCAAAAAGCATTCCTATACCTGGCTTAGTGGAACCACACAAACATATTGGCTCCAAGAGCAGAGCTTCCAGCTACAGTACTTTGTTCCTCCTCCGGAGAACAGAAGCAGTTTTGCTCTTTGGATGCTCCTTCCCTGTCTATTTGAGGTTTGGGCTCATTCAAGCATTATTTTACTGAGTTGGTTTGTGTAGGAGATCAGTTTTCATACGAGATGTTGCTCGATCAAAAGTGCTTCAGGTGTTGGAAAAAATGTTCCTAACTTCCACCAGTTCAGAGTGAACATTTTTATAGGTAAGTTTCTCTCTCTGCGGCAGTAAATTTTAAAATCGGGCACTGTGCTAACACAGGGGTGCTTTTAAACAAATGCCTTTCCTCTTTGAAAACTTAAATGGAACCAATATTGCAGGAGGATCAGCTTGTAAAATAGCACTATTAGAGTGACCACAGCTCTATGTTTTGAACACGAAAACTGGCAGGATGTTTTTGCGCTTGACATCCATGGAGGTTAAGCTAAACAATTTAGGAAAGTGAGTGGTTTGGGCTGTGCCTGAAAGAGTTGCATGGGCATTATGTGATGTGGATTGTCTGGCACTTAGTTCTTGTGCCAGACTCCACATCACATAATGCCCAATTTAGGAGACTTTTGATCCCAGTAAATAGATGTATACAGGCAGCATATTTCAGGTTTTGAAGCAAATCCAGAGAAGAATAGTAAATAGCATAAATGGGCTATACCTTGCCTGCGTGTGAAGAGCTTCCAAACTTTTTCCTTTTTCCTTTTTTTTTTTTTAAAAGGATTCCACTCTTTGGATTATGTAAGGAGTTTGGAAGAAAAAATTATTTTCCTTTGAGTAAGATTTCAATAGAGGAGAGAAAAGGAAGACAGTTTTAGGGAAGGTTTTGGACAAAGCAACTATATTCACATGTTAGATACTTTCCAGCTGTTCAGATTGATGATAATAGGAGATACATTTGTGTGCCCCTTTCTTCATATTCTTTTAAACATGTTATCAACAATAGAAATCATTTTAGTTGGTGAAATGAAAATTTCCTGATGTCAACTGCATCTGTATATTACCTTAGTTCTTTATGTAAATATCTGAGCAAAATGTAGCTGTAAAGAAAAGAAAAGGAGGGGGGGTAGCTCTTTCATTGCGAACTAGTAACCAGTTTGCTATTTCAGTTGCTGTTTGATGATGCCATACCTGGTTGTCTTGGCTAGGGTGCAAATTCTTTATTTTTGTTTTAAAAGGGCTATTTAAATGTCCTGGCCCTAGACCATTTAGGTCTCTCAAGTCAACACAATAACTTGAAATGATTCTTATTCATAAAGTTATAGCAGTACTTTCAAAGGCATCCCAGTGCAGAGACCATAGCACTGTCTATTCTGTAGATTACTAGGACATGAATGACAGTGACCAAATCCTTCCAACCCAGGAGGGGACACAGCTGGCATTTCACCCTAACTGGAGCAGGGGGGGTCACTCCTGGCCACCATCAGGAGTAGTGCAGCCCCTCCAGAACAGGTTGAACACCTATCCCAAGGACATCTGAACCACCAGCCATCAATACCTCCATCTTATCTGGATTAAGTTTGAGTTTATTCACCTACTTTCAGTTCATCATGATCCTAGACATCTATTTAGAACCTTAAACACCACAGCTGAACCAGATGAAAATGAGTAACAGAGCTTAGGTATCATTAATGTACAAACAGCACTTCAACCATATCCTTCAATGACCTTACCCAGTGGTTTCATATACCGTAGATAGCATGGAAGATTAAGGAACCTTGCAGTATTGCATAAGCCAAAAACTGCAGGCTGGAGCAGAATCTTCCCATCACCATCTTTTGAGATTGTTCTTATAGCTTTAATAATTTAAGGAGAAACAAATAGGGTCACACTTTTTGCTTTTTCTACCTCATAGGAATTATTTTGTACCAAGTCAGGCAAATGGTCCGTCTAAGTATTGTGGGCATTGGCTGGCAGCAGCTCTGAAGGATTTCAGGCACACGTTTTCCCCCAGCCCTACCTGGATACATCAGGAACTGAACCTGGAACCTTTTGTGTGAAAACTATGTGTTCTACCACTGAGCTACAGCTCCTATCCCCAGCTAAGCATTGAGTCACTGACCAAAGTGTCCAAAGCAGCATAAGTTCTAGAACTTTGTCAAAATCTAGGCTGGCATGGCTCTAGATAACCCATGCCAGCTGAGAATGTTTGACCTTCAAGCAGCATCACACAGATTTGGGCACTGCTCTTGTCAGAATAATAGATATCTGTCATGAAAAATTACTTCTGAAACAGCAGCTGATTGGATCTGTGAGGAAGCTCACTGTGGAAGAATACCAAGCACTGGGAAGGGAAAGGGGGAGAGCACGCTTCTCCTCTTCTTATATCTCCAACCTCCCATCAGTGAAAAAGGAGGAACTTCTTGCAGGTAAAAAAAAACAACGTTAACCATGTTTCCCCAGCTACATCATTTTGTCTCAACCCTATACTATTCACAAGCTAATGGGCAAGCTATTGACAAGTTTTTTGTTATTAACATGCATGACTGTGGGTTGCAATTAAAACGTTTTCCAAAACACTGAGAATTGAGTTCACCAGATGGTATTCAGCATAGTGATGTGAATGCCAATCAGGCTTTTTCTTTGAATTAAATGTGGATGACATAAAAATGATGTGGGTAAGATGGAATGTGCAAAGTTAGAGAAGTCCATCTCTACTTTTTATGCCTACCACTTCCCAAACACGTTTTGTAGAGCATACAGTCAGCCCATGGCATTCCACTCTGCCCTCAACACTCTGGGGTTGTTGCTGTTTCCAAGTCTCAGGTGTTTCCATCTTATGCGACTGTTATCTTCAAGGCATTACAAGGTGTGTGTTTGAACCCACATCAAAGTGTACACCAAAGAACCTGTATCTGATTCCAACAACACTATAATACAACAGTGATAGTTCTTGTCACTGTGCTGGAAAGAAGTGTGTTAATTACATGCATTAAGCGATGCATAATGAAATGATCACCATACATTGGGATTATATGTGCCATAGACTGACACATCCTGGTTTAGTCCTCCTGTTTTATGCTTCACTCCCATGTCATTCTTTTTTCTATCACTTGAGACTTTGTCTCTTACCACTTCCTCATCAATAGTCCTACACTCTTCCTCTTTTTAATTGTGACCTTCAGGGTGCCATCCTATGCCACTTTCCAGAATTAAGTGCCATTGATTTTCTTCTGAGTTGACTTGTTTAGGATTGTGCTCTTTGTTTTGAAGTA